TCAACAGCACGCCTTCTCCAGCTCCCTCTGTCCATGGCAACTCCCCTCCAGTTCTTAAGTTTTAGGACTTTGAGGTCGTTTTCGGTGTCGTTGAGCCATCGAGTAGGTGGTCTACCTCTAGAGCGGGACCCCTGAGGGTTCTTGAAGGTGGCAATTTTTACAGGGCTATCTTCAGAGCCTCTCCAGATATGGCCGAGCCATCTTAAATTATTAATTATTATATTGGCAAAATGTAAAATGAAATGTTATCGTGTTGACGTGGTTGGAAAATTTTGTCACTGAAACTGTAAGATGAGGACGAAAAATTTGATAATGTGGTTAATGTTGGTGAAAATGAAGATTCAAAAAATAGTTGCTGAAGTTATAAGAAAATTTGAAGAAAAATTCCTGATTTTAAAAAATAATGAATTCATGATATAAGTTACATAGCTAAAACTTAATGTTCTTAAATATTATTAACAGCAAAATCATTCATCAAAATTTCTAGCAAAAGCCAAAATTAGAATAAATATTCTAAAGTGAAATTGTTTAGCAAAGATTGTGAAAATATATATACTAAACGAACGTAGCGTTAGCAAGAATGTTGATTTGTATGTAGGTACTTCTATACTGCTACAATGGCAAAGTTATTTATTTTTACCAAGATTAAAAAAGTTGAACAAATACATTATGTAGAGCTATATTGTACATAGTTTTAATTTGTGCAGACATTAGTTTTATGCGTAATAACAATTAAATAAAGATTTCGGCTAGTAGGTTATTATGTAGGGCGTTATAAATGTTTGTTGCTCACACTGTTAGAAATTTCTCGGAAAAGATGGTTAAATAACAATTTATTTCATTGTTATTTCACCATATTCAAACAAAACAGTCAAATCACCATAAATAATATGGTAATCAAACTGTTAACTGTGAAAAAAATCGTTTATTGACTGCTTTCACATAATATGGTCAAACGACCAGAATTTTATCGTACCAACTAAGCCAACTTACACTGTTAGAAATTTCTGAGAAAAATAGTTATGGAAAAATAGTTTCCAAAACAGTAGAATAAACGTAAAAAATATGGCATTCAAACAGTTAATATTGAGAAAAACAGTTGATTGATTGTTTTTTTATTTTACGTTTAAACAACGATAATTTTTTTCGCGCCACCTAGGTCTTCCGCCAATGAAAATTTAGCGCGAGTTCTTCGAAAGCTGAAAGCTTGTGCGATATGGAATAATAATTATTTTTCCATTATCGGAAGGCTCATATCTTTGGCGCAATTAATGAAGTGTTCGACAACATCGACTCAGAATCAGACAAAGATAGAAAAAGTAAGTATTTCATTGCATAATTATTTCATGTTATTATCTATTGTATTTAAGTTTTAATCTCTCGTAAAAATGTAATTTTGAGTATATGTGTTCGTATGCAATGTCAAGTGATAAGTAATTTTTTTCTGAAGAAAAACGATAGTTGTAGTTTTATTCAGCATTTTATTTGTTTTGATCGTTATATTATTTTTAAAAAACTTAAAATTTAAGTCGCTAATGCTATAGTTTTTCCATAATGTGCTTAATTTAACGCCATTGCACTTTAATGTTGTACTAGCAACGAATTTCGATTTGGCCGAATTTTTGATTTTCGAATGAAAGTACAATTCTTAATTAAATATATTCTTACAATTCAAGTTTATTCATTGCATGAGAAATATTATTCGTGAAAGTCTAATATATTTTAAAGCGAAAATTTGAATGAAAAGAATACAAATAATATCTTTTATTGTAAACCATTGTTTTAAAAATTCCATTATATCCGCTTGAAAGTTAATGAAAAGAACTAATTCTACATTTTTTTCCGGAAAGGTTCTTTAAGAAAAAGTTAATATTTAAAAAAAAAAAAACTTACTAATAACAGAACATAGTTAAATGTTAATGTTTTTCATCCAATGTATGTATGTTGTTAATTTAATAAAAAAAAGTTAATAATTTAATTAATTGGTACTAAATTGTTTAATTACATAGGATTTTTTAATATTTTATTTTCCTGTCCATTTTAAAGTTGTATTTTTGTAGTATATTTGTAAGTCATATTTTTCTTTTAATTCTTATTTTGTTATCCTAAATTTGGTAGTTTGAAATTCATTAGGCTCCTTGGTGATAGTGGCTGCACAGATCCTGGTATGGACTTATTCCCCTAATTATTTTAAAAAGTCTTTATCAACTTAATATTTATAATTAACATAAGATCTTGAGATAAAGTTTTTAATTAGTTCTGTTCTATACTAAATATTAATATGAACTTGATGACATTCTGGTTACTTTTGATGAACTTACTCAAAAACTTAGGGTAAATTTAAATTATCTGTCTATTGCTTTAATACATTTATCAAAAAAAAAAATTGACTGGTAATAATTAATATTAAATGTTAATCTGATTGAAATGGCAAAAGAGGTGAATGCTACCTTGGTTGATAATTTGCTAATTAAGTGTAAAATAAAGTTCAGAATATTATAAAATCTTCATAATGATTCAATTTTATTAAAATAGTAGTAAAAGGTGTATTTTTAATCAAAAAAGTGACAGTGTGGCAACTAGTTGGTGAATTGCCAGTTGTTATGTTTAGTGCCTTGTAGTAAGTGCCGACTGTTAATTTTGCATTTTACTGTTCAATATTGACAAAATTATACTGGAAATTGTAAAAGTGTTCTTCTGAACAGAATAATAATTAAAAATAGTAGGTTCTGAATCAAAAGTAGTTTTTTTTCCCTTCTCTTATGTTAAAATTGCTTTTCTTGCACTTAAGTAAAGCAAATTATACTTCAGTTATATTTTATTTTATATCCGTCGTTGAACAGCAGACCCAATTTTTGGGTTTACGACTACAAATGTTCAACTCTGTAGCCTTGCAATTTTGAACCAATCCAGCTGACAAGGAAACTCCTGGATCAGATTTAAGGTGCATCAGTCACCATTTAAGACGGGGAGTTTTCGGCTGCCGGGGATCAAGCTCTTAGACAAGTGCCCAGCGCCCTACCAACCAGGCTATCCCGGTCTTATACTTCAGTTATAGTTTGTCTGGTACATCCATAATGTCAAAAAATGTCCTAATTAATTTTTTGAATTTTTTCTAATGTTGTGATTTTTTTTCAGACCGACTACTAAGCCTGAACATACCTAGATATCGAAAAAAAGAAGTCTAATTAAAAAAAAAAAATTCTAGTTTTTAGTTATTTTTGTTAAGAGTAGTGTATTTGGTAGTTTTGCACAATTAATTCCTTTTTAAAGTTCTCATATTCATGATTTAAACTTTTTTTTCTAGCTTGTATCTCATTAATTGATGTTACAACATATCTAGTGTGTTCATTTTTATTCTTTAAATTCGCTTTAAGTTATCTTAATGTAATAAGGCTAGGTGTTACATATTTTTACAATTTACTAAAATGAAATGTAGACTAAATTTAAAATGTGATTATTAATAATTTAGAAGCAAAATCTATTATGTATCATTGCAATGTATGTAATTATGTTGGTTACTCATCTAGAGTGTACTATCTCCACATGTCTACTCATAGACATGAGTTCCATACTAAGTTTAAGTGTGGTGTGACAAATTGTTATAAGACATTTAAAACATTTTATGCATTCGATACACATATATCACGATACCACCAAAAATTGAGAAATAACCATAATTTTGTTTCATCTTCATTAAATCTGTGTTGTAATATAAAACTATGTAACAAATCTTTTACAAATGCAAGTGATTTAGTTAGTCATTTGAAATCTCATTTAAAGTTAGGGAGAGAAATTCAATGTTGTTTTGACCATTGCACTAAGTTTTTTAAATTGAAATCCTCTTTTTCCTCACACATTACTAGAAACCATTCATTAAGAAACAAAAATTTATCGCCACAGTTTTTTAAAAAAGCTGTCAATTTTAACAGGGAATCATCTAAAGCATCTTCTATAATTGCACCGATTGATAATTTTAGTATTTTTGATTCTGATGAGATTCCAATAATAAACCCACAAGAGGAAATGATAAAGAACACAGCAATGTTTTGTTTGATGTTGGAAGCCAAATTTCTTGTTCCTTCCAGTACTATTCAGAAGATAATACAGGAACTGCATATGCTAATTTTAACTGATGATAATAATTTTAAGGGCAAGTTCACTAAATCTCTCAAATCTTTGAAACTAAGAGACGAAGAGCAGAGCTCTATTTTAAATTTTGTAAATGCACACGAGGGTATACTATCTATTCTGAATCTAAAAACTGGGCCTTTACGATCAAAGTTTCTCAGATCCAAGTATTTCAAAAAAAATTTTAATTTTGTAAAGCCTGAGGAAATTGAATTAGGCAAAGATAAATTTAATAAATCAAGAAGTTGCCATTATGTCCCAATTAAAAAAACTTTGAAGTGTTTGTTAAGTGATAAATCTTTCCAGTTTCAGTTTCAAAATCCCCTACCTTCGAATAAAAATTTTTTATCTGACATTAAAGATGGTTATTTGTTTAAATCTAATCCCAATCTTCAAGACAATAGCACTTTACAAATAATTCTTTTTCAAGATGCTTTTGAGCTCGTAAACCCACTGGGTTCGGCCAAAAACAAACACAAAATACTTGCTTTTTACTTTACTTTGGAAAATATTTATCCTGAATATAGATCTCAGATCAATCAGATTCAATTGCTACTGCTTTGCATTGAAAATGATTTAAAACTTTTTGGAGAGAGAAAAGTTTTACAGAGATTGATAGTTGATTTGAAAGAGTTAGAAAAAGGATTTATGCATAACGGAGTTACATTTAAAGCCAATGTATTTTGTATATGTGGGGATAACTTAGGATCACATCTTATTGGTGGTTTCTCACAAAATTTTTCAACATCAGATGATATGTGTAGGTATTGCATAATAAAAAGACCTCATTGGAAAAATCAGGAATATCCAAAGTTAGATGCCCCTCGATTGACACCAGATCTTTTTAGAAAGGAAATTGAGGCAAATTTGATTTCAAAACCAATATTTAATGAGCTAGAAAATTTTCACACATCTTCAGGGCTGCCTCCTTGTGTAGCTCATGATTTATTTGAAGGTGTAATAGCTTACGACTTACGGTTGTATCTGAATCATTTTATTGATGCTAAATGTCTAACTTATTTTGATTTAAATAATATGATTCAGACTTTTAAATTTGTGGGTTCTGATGCCTCTAATAAGCCTGCCATGCTCTCTAAAAAGGTGAATGGTACAAAGGTGAATGGTAGTGCTTCACAAATTTGGTCACTCTTACGTTTTTTACCTGTCATTATAGCAAACAAAGTTAATACTTATGATCCAGTTTGGACTCTCATGCTTCAATTAAAAGAAATAACAGAATATGCTACAGCTCCTAAATTAAGTCCTGGTCAGGTAATTTGTATGAAAAGTCTTATTGATGAATATTTAGAGGATCGAAAAACAGCTTTTCCCAATGAAAATTTGAAGCCTAAACATCATTTTTTTCATCACTATCCAGAATTAATCATGAAGTTTGGACCATTAGTTAGACTGTGGACCTTACGATTTGAAAGCAAACATACTTTTTTTAAAAGGGTTGTAAGACAATGTCAAAATTTTATTAACATAACTTACAGCTTATCAATGAAACATCAATTATTGCAATGCTATCTTTTGAAGGGTAGGCTTTTCTCTGGTTTTTTACATGTTAGTGACAAAACTGAATTTAACATTGATCTCTACAGATATTCAATTCAAGATTCGGTCAAAGATACAGTCAAGCATGGTATATGGTTTATTTCCACTAAGGTTGAAATATATCAGATAGTGTACAAAGTCAATCAATTTCTACATGTAGATGAGCATCTTTGTGAAATTTTATTTATTTTGACTGATGAAAAGAAACATATTTATTTTGTTGTTAAAGTTTTTAATGATTGGTTTCATCCTGAAAGAGGTATACATGTAGTTGAAGAAATAACTCCTGAACAGGTCAAGTGCGTTTGTTATTCGAATAGTTTATTGGATACATACCCACTTTATAGTTATATGACGCACAATGGTGAAAGATTCATTATAAAAAAACACCAGTTTCCTTTTCTTTTAGAAAATTAAGTAATGACAAATCAACTTTATTCTGAGTTATTATGTAAACAATATTTTAACAAAATTCTCGCATATTAGAAAAACATAAAAAAAAATTTTTTTTTAAAAAGGCATTAATTTTGGCTTTTAAAGCTTAAAATATTCCGAAGCTAGATTTTTATATAATTAAATAATATGCAGGCCATTTTTCAGAGTTTGATAATCCACAAAAATTTACATTCTCTATTGTACATGCTTATCTAAAAAACTCATGACTGATTAAAAACTTTTGCATAGTGATAAAAATATAATATGTGGCAAATCTATTACTGATATGTTGTTGAAAAATTGCCTTTAAAAACTAAATCTACATTAACATTGTTAATTCAATTATTTTTAAATTTATTATTTAGTTTTTTTTTTTTTTCAATTAAAATAAAGAGTATTTATTTCAAGCAAAGTTATCCTTTGTTTAATTTATGTAACTCATTATCGGGCAATAATATTTTCAGTGTCTTTTATGTTTATTTAGTTCTTTTCGCCCTGTCTATTATGGATTTAAATGAAAAATTGTCATCTATAATAATGAACACGCTAGATGATGTTGATACCGAGGACATCATAAAACTCTTGAAGAATGCTGGCGTGAAAACATTTTCTCACATTAAATATATACAAGAGTCAGATTTATTGGAACATCTGAATAAAATTCAAGCAAGAATGCTGATTGAATCATTTCAAAGTATTTATATAATTTTTTATGGCCCAAATAACTAAAGTCCATATTATTTAAAGGTAAAGTTTTACAAAATCGTAATAATATATGAAGAATTTTTAGAAAAAATTTTTAAGACCATTGAATATTTAAGACAAAAAGTTTTACAATAGTTAATTTGCTATGTGAAAAACTAATTCAATTTAATATTATTATTAAAAATTTTCTATATAGTCACACTTTTAATCATAATTTCAATGACATATTGGCTTTTAAGCAATAAAATTTTTGCCAAAAATGTATATTTTGAATTTTTTCAAGGAAATTTGATTAAGTTTTAAGTAGTAATTTATTAGAAAAGTTTGTCACACAAATCAAAATTTTGTTCTATACTGGAAAACAATATAACATTCAATATTCCATAATAAATAAACATTTCATATTTCTTTACTCTATCCATATTTAGTTGTTTCATAATGCTGAATTAACTGAACATTTTTAAGAATTTTGATGTATTTTAAAGGAAGGTACTTAATACTTGCATGATTTTGATGCCTTAGTGTTCATATACTTTTTCTATCTTAATTTTTATACAAATAAATATTGTGTGAATCAGATTAAAAACTCTTATCTAGTTAGATTATAGTTAAGTGCTAAAATAATGTAACTGTAAATACCCTATCTATCCAATTTAGACATACACAAGGAGTTTAGATTATTCTTTTTTAAATTTTAGATGCTGTCAACAATGTCGAAGGGAGCATAATATGCGAATATACAGTTGTAGCCGAGGCATCTCCACAAGTGGTTTTACCTGCCTTAGCTCCCGAAGAGGTAGATGTGATTAGGATAAGCTGGAATCTGTTGCCAAAGAATATTTTAAACAGTTTAGAAAAAGGTGAAGAATTAAGACCCTCTGAGTTTCGTATTATCGTCAGAGTTATAGTAGATGAAATTTTGAAAGCAAATGCATATCCTCAGAAAAAATTTGTTGTGAAGGTGGCTGAGGAATGTGCAAAGAAGTTCCCAGTGTTGAAGGATAAATTTAACAACATGACATTAGGTACGGGCTATGACAATCTTGCATACAGATTATATACTAGAATAGAAAATTTAAGAAGAAAACTTACTACGTCACCCCAAATTATGGCAGATTCTCCACCCTTCAAAAAAAGAAAAATGGTAATAGATAGCTATGGATGTGTTGCTTGGTCAATTCCTTTGCCTGAAGGGGTAACCAATGATGAACTAATTTCAAAGAAGGAAGTTCTGCAGAAGTGTTTAGATTCTGATATTGACCGCACAATAACTCTTCTTAAAGAAACTTATTATTTGCAGAGGGCTGCAATCAATCAAGGGGCTGCTTCAATTGGAGAATTGTTGAAAGATTGGCCAATACTGTTCACAGAAAGAGGCATTGCAGCTCATTTCGAAATTTTGACAAATATTAACCTCTTTGAAATGTTAGAAAGTACAGTGATGTTAAAGAGTAAAACTCTGTTTTCATTCTTCAGGTCTTCAGGTCAAAAAGAAGTTAAAGTTTTTATGTCAGAAACTGACCTAATGAATAATCCCAATCAACTTCTTCTACTAGTTTTAGTTTTGGGAAAGTCTTTCAATGAGTCGACTGACTCAGTCTTTTTTACTGATGAGGTAAGAACATTTTCCTGTTTTAATTTGATTGTGTAATGGAATTTCCATGATGGAAGTCTTTTTCTGCTCAGATTAGCATCAAAAATAGCTTTTTGTGATTTATCTAGTTTTCAGCAAATTAAATGCAGTAAAATTCTCAATTTTAAATTATTTAATTCTTTTAAAGGAATCTTTGTTTAAGACTGAAATAATTGATTGTGAATCTATACTATTCTTAGAGTTGTGTGTTTTCCTTCTTTTTTTAAAAAAATTTAAATCAAATTTTATTGATAATAGCAGTTATCCTGTAAAGGAGAGAGAATAAATGTAAATTATTGACTAATGTTCAAAATAAAAAAGATTTATTATAAATAAGAATAAAGTGTTAATTTTAAATTGTAACTCGTTAGTTGTAAATAAATTAATTTGCTGTTCTACTATTAATAAGTCTATTTCGGTTATACCCCCATGTAATTTAATGTTGATCAGGGTTAGAGTTTTTGCCGGCAAAAAGGGTTTTTTGCCAGGACAGTGGCAAAAACCTGGTAAAAACCGGCAAAAACCAAATTATCTGAACTGCTGATTAAATGTTATTACAAAATACTTGAAACATATTTAAATCAATCATAATGAATAATAATTTCGATACATTACATGAAAAAATTATTTTTAACATATTAAAAATTATTATAAGGGTAATAATTTTTAAAAGATTGAAAGTTTTTGACCTCTTTTTATTTTAGAATCCTTAAGCAAATGTTTTTTTACAAATAAATATTATTTGTATAATATTATTATTTATTATAAAAAATTATATTTGTACAATAATTAACTACACATGTTGATAGATATTTTATGCTTCAAATTATAGTTATATTAATTTAAAATAAGTTTATTTCACTGGAAAAAAGAGAATAATCACAAATTTTCCAATCAATAATGTTTTAAACTACTAAAATGATATATTATTACATTATCATTTAATTATGGAATAATAATTTTGTTAATTTTTTTGTAATTATTTATATTTATAGTATATATTTCAATTTTAGGAATAATTTTGTATCAAAAATGTGTTTTTGTCCTCTCATCTTGGAAAATATAGGTTTTTGCCACTTTTTGCCACTTTGCTTGGCAAAAACCTGTTTTTGCCAGGACGGTTTTTACCGGTATTTACCATGGTTTTTTCCACCTGCGGCAAAATCTTGCCAACCCTGATGTTGATTTAAATATAAATGTATTCTAAACTTATTAAATATATACTAAATGTTCATCTAACTAGTTAATATTCTTTCAGGTCTTCAATCCACATAATCTGCAGCATCTCCCAAAGCATCCATGTCTTGTTGGAAAAGGTAATTGTGTGATTCACAAACATAGAGTTTCAATTCTTAAAAATTTCAATATATTTTTAGTTTAATTTTAGCTATTGTTTAAAAAGGGAAAGATTATTGAGAAAAAATTAAAATTATTCATCTGGAATATTTCTCACCCTATTTAAACTTGCCTATTGAATTTCACGAGAATAAATGTAGTAAGAGATTTTTATTAATAATTGAGAAAATTAATTCGAATTTAATGAAATTTCTCTCTGCTCGGAGATGTTTCTCCTCTTGTTTGAAATAATCTGTATCTAATTTTTGTTGTCTTTTTTTTTCTAGTCTTTGTTGTCTTAATTTTTGTCTGGTTTTTTAAATTTAAAATTTTGTGAAACTTATAAATTAATTTATAACATAATGTCTTTTTTTATTCTCATATCACTAATTATTATTTTTTTTTAATTTTAGGGACATCAATTTTAAGGTGTGACGAATTTTTTTTAGTAATGGATGGTATAGCTGTGAACACTGGAATTAAAGATGCTACTGTAGCTGTGGCTGCATGGTTTGCATCTTTTTACGTATTTAATTATTTATACCCTTTGGAGTACTCGTGCACGCTAGAATTTTTTCAGAGGTACTAAAAATTTTATTGATTTTTCTTGTATTTCTCTTCTTTTTTTCCCCCTGGTGTTCTAGTTAAAGCTAAGTTCTAAATTTATGCAAAAAAGCTATAAAAAAAAGGAGAAAATAAAAAGTTTTAGCAAATCGTTGAAATGCCACAAGACCTACAAACATGACTTAGTATACCATTCTTCCAATTGTCACACAAAAATTTACCTGATGTGTGTTTCAATATATTATATTCATTAAAACCAAATATATTTTATATAAACAGTGTTTTCATCTCAGAAAAAAAATGGGTGAGAATTTCTCACCCTTTCTCAAAAACAGGGTGAGATTTCAAAAAGTTAAGTGAGATTTCAAAAATTAAAAAAAAAAAAAAAAAACACGAAGAGACTTGAAAAAAATCATTTCTTTAATTATAATGCATTTTTAACATCTTCTAATTTTTAAAGCATTGAATATGGAAATTGTTCTACATCTTTTTCATCAGCTATTCTCATTAGGTTGCTCAAATGCGTATTTGTTTACTTTTGATTGTTTCTACCCACATTTGTTTCATTTTCATTTGTCCGTTTCGGAGTAGAAGATATTGGCTTTACAAGGTATTTGTCCATCTTACATTAACGAGCAAAAAATTTGAACGTCTTACATGACCTCACCTACAGCAAACACGTGGTTACAGAGAAATGCGTTCTGAAAGAGGTTCGTGGTTCGGAAGGATGGTGTTCTGTTGTTCTTAAAGGTTCTGAGCAATACTGGTAAATAGGGAAGCTAGATAATGGGGCAGATGTTGAAAATAATAAAAGATCCAGGAAGAAAAGTGAAACGGATTTTATTCTAAATGGTGCAAATGAGAAATTTTGAAATTGGTTTATAGAATGCACAAATTTCTCACGGTAATAATTTTTTAATGCGAGAATGTAAAAAAATATGCGAGATTCTCGCGCTGTAGTGAAAACACTGTATAAACCTATGATTGGAAAAATATATCAGAATTGCTGTTTATGATTAAAATTTTATTATTAATTCAAATAGTTCTAATCAATTACAAATGAATCACAATTCAGTTAAGGGATGATCCATCAGTGATTTTGAGCTTTTTATCAATCTAAATTAAAGATTAGAAGCTCTGATTTAACTCAAGATTTTTTTAATGAAATCAAATCTCTAATAAATCAAATATTATGTTAATAAACTTTATTTTTGAGAAATTTTAAAAATTAAGAATAGTTAAAACTTTTTAAAGGATTAAAAAAGTCGTTTAAATATCTTGTTATTGCAAATTAACAGCACTAGATTCTGCTTTTATGCGCCCTCACCCTTTTTTTTGTTATGCTCTACTCTTAATAGATTAAATTATATTAAAAATGTTTGCAGATAGAGCCTGTTAAACAAAAATATTTGACTTTCCAATATTCAGGGCTGATTGTGCTCTGGAAAAAATCCGGATTTTTCGCCAACAGTGATCCGAAAGTTTCCGGAGATCGAATGTCTAGACGTTTAAAAAAAATCATTGATCACAGAAGTTACCGTAAATCAAATTTTCAAAGGTGGAACTTAAAAACACAGTTTATTTTATTTGTTAGTAACAAGAGAGAGCCAGAGAGATACTTTATAAGCTTATATTCATGATTAATATTCATTTTTCATCAGTAAATAGTTGTTATAATCGTAAACTCAAGAAAGAAATACATATTTGTAAATTTTAATTACTTCTCCAGGTCATCATAGGTATGTGTTAAATTTTAAATATATTTTAAGTAAACTAAGAAATATTGAGAAAAAGGAAGAAAATAACATTGCTTAAATTTTTTTGTTGAATTTAACTTGTTTTTTTCTTTCTTTTTTTCTTTTCTCTTTTTTTTTTAACTTAAGAGATTTTCCGGAATTTTGACTTAAGCTCACAATCACCCCTGAATATTCTGTAATTGTTTGCTTGCTCATGTAAAAATGTCATATCTGAAATGCTAGAAGAGCTGAAAGTAATTATCCAGTTACTAAGTTAGTAAAATATTTTAAACAAAATGGGGCTATCACTTAAACAGTAGTGTTGTATTATGTTTAAAGAGCTATAAAGCTGCTGAATATATGCTATGCATCAATTTTATTCATTAAGTGTTCATACTGGTTGAGAACAGATCCTTTTGACTATTGATAACACATATTTTTTTAATCTAGTCCTGAGGTATGAAAAAAAAGTTTGTTCATTAACTTCTGTGTTGAGTTGCATTTGGCTTGGTCAACCTTTCTGTGCTGAGTTTGCAAACAACTAACTGGTTTCTCTAATAATTAACAGTCTATAACTAATAATAAACTTGTCAATTTGTATTAATGTTTATGGTAATTACTAATTTGCCTTTTGTTGATAGCCATTTTTCTTAGATTTTTGTTTTCTTACATATATGTATGTTGAGCGTTTCTAAATGAAAGGATTCTCCATGAAAAATTGGTATTAAAATAGAATTCAAAATATTTGTGACTTCGTGGAGTTTTTTTTTTCTTTTTTCATTTTCAACAAGAAGAGATTTGAGATGTGGGGCTGCAAGATTTTCTATTTTGGCTAAATTTGTTTCTTAGAAATCAGTATTAGGAGTATTGATATCAGTTGATGTACATAAAATTATTTTTTTACTAATTTTAACATATTTTTCAGGTGCTTTGTTGGAATAAACCCTATATCTGGATCCAAAGTGGAAAGAAAGAAAGGAAAAAAATTGTACAAAGGGATTCATCCAAAGATTTTAAACTTACTTAAAAAGCTAAAAATATTTGACAGCTGGGTGACAGATTGTAGAAGTTAAATTTTTAATTGAAATGAAATGACTCTTAATTTTTTTATTCTTTTCTTCATAGCTTAGCATTTTTAAAAAATGTTTAAAGGTGTTTATTAAGTTTAAGTAAATAATTTTCTTCTCAAAAAAATGCCCTGATCATTTTATTATTCATTCATTTCGAAATGCAATCATAAGTTTTAACGATATATTTCATTATAAAAGTTCTATCCAAGCTTCATTAATTGTTGAAATCAAGTTTGTCATTTTCTATTGCAAAATTTTATTCAATATAATAAGCTCCATTTCTATGGACTCAGATACAGGAGAAAAGTAACCTTGCCCTCTTTTATTATTAATCAATATTTAGTTTTTAATACCATTTGATTTTGTTGCATTGACTAATTAATAAAACTTGTGATTAACTCAGAACTACTACCAGATTTTGTGCTGTTTGTTCTCAAACTATACATTCAACGCACCAATTTATTAATGTGTCAACACCATATCTTTTGCAATATTTAACACAGTTCACACACAGGAACAAATAGATATCCGTATAAACTCCACTTTATTGAGGGTTTTTTAATAGTTAATTCGCACTTGAGTATACTGGACGGAAAACTAAAAACTTTCTGATTTGTTAGCCCGATGATACTAGATAACTATACTGTAATTAATTTCCTGTCAATTGTTTCTGTTAATTCTGTGGATTATTTTTTTGAAACAAAGAGGTAAATGACCTTTTTAAGTTTGCTACAAAATAGTATGTGGATTTTTTTTTTTTTTGCATTTGTTATTTTTTATACCTCCTAGTAGTTTCTACAGGAACTGGTATTTATAATTTTTAATCTGTCAGAAAAAATAATTAATTATGAGGGTTGCAATTTTGACCACGTCTTAATTAGAAAAATTCCTTGTCAAATATCTTAAATTTTATTTCCATATCGTAATAAAAGTGTAATTAAAGCACCAGTTTTGGTTTTGATTAGAACCTAAAATCCTGTTTGAAAAACAATTAATTTTAACTTTAAAACCTTTATGCTAATATTTTCATTTCATTAGTATTATATTTGTCGTATATTGATATTGCATTTATATTTCTGTCAATTCATTTAACTTGTAATCATTTGGAAGAAAAGGAAAATTAAACACTTGAAAAAATTATTCAGATAAATTTCATGTATAAAATTTTTTATTTACTGTGACTTCAAAGCCTTAAAGGTGGTTAGAGAGTCTGTAGAAAATTGTTCTGTTGTGAAACAATATTAGATAATTCAAATATTTTAAATTTATTACAATAATGAAAATTAATCGATTAGATAATTCAAATATTTTCAATTTATTACAATAATGAAAATTAATCGATTTAAAGGTTTTTCTATAACATGTTGCCAGTTTCTACTTGTGTATCCTTTACTATAACCAAAAGTTCTCTAAAATGTAGCAAAAGCGTTCCAAAAAGCTTATTGTTAACTATTTTTATAATGAAATGATATGTTGAATCTTTAATAAAGTCATTTTTGCTATTTGTAATTGTTTTCTTTTCATTTTCTGTAATTTATCAACATGGTTATGAAGTTTTAATAAAAATCTTTGTGTTACTTAAAAGTTTTCAACAGTTGATGTTAGAATTACCTAGTTTAGGTTTAGAATAACTTAATTTTTAAAAATTGTGGTATTAATTGTTCTAATTATCATTTATATTCTGTTTTCTTATACATTCAAGTTCAGTATTTAACCCATTAAAAATATCATTCTTGCTGCCAAACAAGCAATAAGGACCCTGTTGTTGTATAGTTTCTATTCAGGTAGACAAGCAATACTAAGAAAATGGTCACCCGACATGCCTTGAGGTTACCATTATACTTATTAAGTTACTCCGCCTGTGTAATTTTATGTCTATGAACTCAGATTTCTTAGAAAAATTTAAACTATTTTAGCACCTAATCTGCTTTTTGAAATCTTGGCCACTAATATTATAGAGTTTTAATAAGCTGTTTGCATCTTTTGATCATAATTCAATATTTTAGTCTCATAAATTCAAAATCAACTTAATAAATTTTTTTTTTTTACCTGTAATTAGTTCCAATTAGATAATAAATCGTAAAGATTCCATGCATTTACAGTTACATTTCATATGAGACACTTATTCTATTTTATTGTTATAAATGCTAGCTATCTTTTTAGCCCGAGAAGTTGTAAATAGTTTCTAAACCGTAGATTTTTATATTTATGGTTATTTAACCATACTAAACAATACGGTTATAAAGCAATTAAATTCTTTAGACCTGGTTAATTAACTGTATTAGGTGTATACAGTAGTACAACCGTTTAGTTTTGTTAACATTGTTTTTTAACCGTGTTTGTTGTAAACAGTATTAAATCCGTAAAGGTAAATAACTTTTCTCAACCGTAAACTTTACGGTTAATCGGATGGACAGACTGCTGCCGTTCCTTTTACCGTAATTTTGGAAAGAAATTTTTAACAGTGTAGCTATATTTTCTTGTGACTGGGATACACATCTTAAACAATTAGATATGGTACTGTCTAAATTAACTGATCTAAAATTCATTGTTAATGTCAAGAAATGTGTTTTCGCAAAAACACAAATCAAGTATCTAGGTCATATTATAGGAGATGGTAGACATGAACCAGATCCTGAAAAGCTTCGTGCTATTGAAATCATCGAAACACCTAAAACCAAGTCAGCTTTAAAAAGTGCTTTAGGTCTCTTTAATTATTACAGAAATTATATACAAAATTATGCTGAGATAGCAAAACCACTGACTGATTTAACCAAAAAGAAAGTTCCAGAGCTTATTCCTTGGACTGACGTAGAGGAATTATCCTTCCAAAAACTAAAGAAGAAGTTGATTGAAGCTCCTTCTCTTTATACTCCAGATCCTAAAAAACCGTATGTTATACAGTGTGATGCAAGTTCCTATGGTGTTGGTGCTTG